TTTAGCAATAATAAAGATATTAATAAAGATAATAATAAAGATATGAGACCCCCAGATACCTGCTCCTTTGGTAGGACCAGAATAAGCTCTGATTTGTTGATGCCTGTGTACTGGTGTTGAAATATTGTTACCATAACCACAGAATACACGTGTGCACCCTCCCATACTATACCACCATGTACAGGAAGTGTTCAAATGTGCTTTAGCAGGTAGAACCTGGTTATAGGCTCGCCCAAGCCCTCCAAGCCTCATCCCAGGGATGGTGCTGGGTGGGGAGCTATTCTAGGCCTCTGAAAACTCCCAGTGTCTCCCTGTTCCTTCACCGGGGGGCAGACTTCAGTGTGCGGGCCACCCCAAGGCCTCCCTCATGTCCTTGTGTCTCCAAGGAGTCTCTCTGAAGAGGAGATCCCCTTCCCACCCGCTTCCATCCTTCTCCTCTTGGCCTGCATCTTTCTCAGCAAGTTTCTAGCAGCCAGCGCCCTTTGGGCTGCGGCCTGGCGTGGACAGAAACTGGTGACATGCCCAGCCAGTGAGCTGGACTGCGGCCACGACCCAGGTTACCAACTCCAGACGCTAACAGGTGAGTACGAAGAGCACAGCGGTGGCTGGGGGTGGACCAGGCAGGGGTGGCGAGGTGGGGCTCAGAGGCGCTGTGTGAGCACTTGGTCGGTTGCAGAGCGGAGAGACACATGAGAGAAGAGGACCCTGCATGGGACGAGTCCCAGGAGAGGCCTGCTGGAACCCTCCCAGCCTGCACACTGGCCCCTCAGCCACCCAGACTCCTGGTTCTGCTTTGGCAGAAGGCCAGCCTGCTCATCTCCTGCTTCCCCTGGGCCTGGGAACAGAGGGGTGTGTTTGTGTGTGTGGGTGGGGGAAGAACATTTGCCAAATTCTGGACACTGGACATTAAATACTCTCACAAATAAATCCCAGACTTCATGTTTAATTGGATGGTTTGGGTCTCCGCGAAGGCCTCTCTCTCTTGCTACAGGGCTAGGAGAATGAATTTGGCCAAGGAGGAGATAAAAGGTCTGACGTCTTGGGGCCTTGGGTCTTAGGCTACTGCATCTCCCCATTCTCGCAGGCTCCATGCCGCCCATCTTTGTCTTCTTGCTCCCTTCCCTAGATTTAGTTACTGAATCCTGCCTCCTCCTCTGGGATTTCTCTAACACCCAGTCTGGCTCCCCTCTCCTCTACTTGTCCCCTGCCCCTCAGGAGGATGATTCTAGGATTATTGCTGCCCACCCCTGCACCAGTCCTTCTAACTCCCACCTGACTCATTCACTCGCTGCTCCCGGAGTATTGCTTTCCTCGTGTTACTTGCCCTGTAGGTGAACAACCAGGGCTTGGCTTAAACGTGCAGCATACCACAACCGGGAACTACTGGGCTGAGCCCCTCAGTACACAGAAGGGAAACTGAGGCTCAAAAGGGAACAACGTCACCTCAAGTCTCCAGCAAAGCCTAGAAATCCAAAGTTTGCTTGGTGTTCAAGTTGCCCTTCCCTCTAGCTCAATTTTACTCATTTATTCATTTACTTATTTAACAGATATTTTCTGTGCCTTGTATCATTCTAGACGCCAGAGACATGACAGTGAACAAAACAAAGATTCCTGCCCACGCAGAACCACGGATTAGTGGGAAAGCAGGGGAGGGGAGACAGACACAATAAATAAGTCAGCAAGACAGTACGTTACAAGATAAAGTGCTGAGGGGATGCTTGGGGGGCTCAGTTGGTTAAGTGTCTGCCTTCAGTTCAGGTCATGGTCCCAGGGTCCTAGGATTGAGCCCCGCATTTGTCTCCCTGCTCAGCAAGGAGCCTGCTTCTCCTTCTCCCTCTGCCACTCCCCCTGCTTGTGCTCTCTCTGACAAATAAATTAAAAAAAAAAAAAAAAAAGATAAAGTGCTGAGGAGCAAATGACTAGGCACACTGGGAGTATGAAAGGGTCAGGGGTGATGTCATTCTAGAGGGCGTCAGAAGGAACAGCTGGAGAAGCCCTGGGAGGAGGTGAGGAAGTGAATCTGGAGGATATCAGGGGCTGAGGACTGGGGCAGAGGGACAGCCTGGGTGGCTCAGGAACTCTATCTCTCCCCCAAACACAACACACCATACAGCCATGAGTGAGAGGAAGGGGATGGAGACTTGCCCAGAGAGGGCTGCAGGAAGAGGAGGAAACGAGGTGGTCCCATCCTTTGCCTTGGCAACGTGGAAGCCCAGGAGCTCGTGTGGCCAGGGCTTTGTCCCCTACCATGGGCGTGGGCTCCTGCGGTTTCTGATTGTGTGGAAGGACTCCCAATGCAGCCCTTGTGTCTAGCTTCACATCTACACATCACTCCCCGGAGCCAGCCCAGTCCTGCCCTGTCCACTCCCCGCAGAGGCTGCTGCGCTGACCCTGCCCCCAGCTCCAGGATGCCGGTCCAGGCTGTGTGTCTCGGGTCTTCGGACTCAGTGGCATGTCAAGCTTCCTCATCATGTCTCAGGCCCTCATCTCCTTCCCGCAGACCTGAGGCACAGTCTAGCACCCAGGAACAAGCCTGTCCACCTGCCAGCACCAACGCTGACAAGATGGCTGGGGAGGGTCCCCCATGCATGGTACTGGAGCATGCTTGTCGCTCGCCTGCTCTTCAGAGCTTGGCCTCTTCTTTTTCTTCCTCTGCAACATTTTAGCATCCCCCTCGGGGTTTGGATCACCTCTGGGGTCCCCTGCCTTGGACTCGCTGGGGTGCACACTGGACTGAAGGGGGTCAGGTAATTTTAGTTCCAATTTTCAGCTTTGCCTCTTACTCAGGAGCCCGAAACAAGTTCTTTAACCTCTTTTTTTTTTTTTTTTTTAAAGATTTTATTTATTTATTTATTTGACAGAGAGAGACACAGTGAGAGAGGGAACACAAGCAGGGGGAGTGGGAGAGGGAGAAGCAGGCTCCCCACTGAGCAGGGAGCTCCATGTGGGGCTTGATCCCAGGATTCTGGGATCATGACCTGAGCTGAAGGCAGATGCTTAATGACTGAGCCACTCGGACGCCCCATCCTAAACCTCTTTGAAACTCACCTATTAAAAATCAAAACAAACAAACAAATCAATCCTGTTTTTCTGGGGTTTTGTGAGGTTGAAATACCATTAGTGAAAGTCCCAGTCCAGATGTCTGGTGCAGAGCAGGTCCCAGATAAACACTGGCTTCCTACCTCTTCTCTAAGGTGTCACAGTCTGACACCTCCCTGTGGCCTTTTCACCTCTGTCCTTCACACCCAGCAGTGGACTGTATCCATTTTAGATACTTGGTTACATATCGAGGACAGGCCTCCTCTTTATGGCCCATTAGTGTAATAACTTTCTCATAAGGAAATCAAAGAAAACCTGATGCATATTGGCAGGACAGAGGTAAGCACTTTCATGTCACTCACGAGGCTGACCCACCTGTCTGATTTGCCCAAGATTTGCCAATGTAGCACCAAATCTGATGTTCCGGGGAAGACCCAGAACTCGGGGCAGACGGGACATCGGGTCACCCTCTCACCACTCCCAGCCTCACACACTGTCCGGCTTTCTCAGGCTCCTGTTTCCAGGCCCCATTGGCAGCTCCCTTGCTCCTGAAGGAAGGAGGGAGTCAGAGGGAGAGGGAAAAAGCAGAGAAGGGAGGGGAGAGGAAGGAGGGAAGGTGGTTTCTTTAGTCCTTTTCTAGGTGTGATGTCTAGCTCAGGAGCAGCATGCCCCTTTCAGCCATTCCCACCTTGTTTTCCTTTGTCTCTCTGGACACCATTGCTTCCCCTGGAGTCCCAGGTCAGGAGGTTTATCGTCCACATTCAGCTCAGGGTCCCCAAACCCCAGTTTTGCACAGGGCAATGTGAATGGTGGCCAGATGTTTCCTGTGCCAGCAGTGGGCTTGTGTCATGGGAGAGGAACCTCCCAGTAAGAGGCTTGGAGTTTATAAACGGCATTGGTCCATCTTCCTCTCTTGGGAGAGAGACACCTTTACTCCGGAAGGTAAACCGATCTTCTCGAGGGAGGGGGCCGGGGTGTTTAAGCAAGACCCTCTGGAGCTGATACACTCTTTCAAGGCATGTTTGCTATTCGATCACACTGGAACAAAGCTTGATCAGTGCCCAGACCATGCAAATATGTGAAAATATCCATGGAGAATTGTCTCCTGACAGGCTAGTCCATTCATGAAACAAAAATAATATGCTATAAGAAATGTCTGGAGAATAAGAAATCTTGTAAATTGAAAATACTAAGGAAATCAACGCTTACAAGACAGTAATAGAAGGGATGGAAGAAAACGAGGAGGGCGTCTTCTCGCAATCAGAACAAAATGGACAAAAAGGTGGAAAACAAGAGAGGAAAGATAGGAAAATGTGATGACTCCATGAGGTTCAATAACCAACTAGTTAAGGAGTTCCAGAGAACAGGGGAAGAGGAAATGGGGCGTCATTATCAAAGGATGGATGTGGTTGCCAGAACTGGAGAACGGGGGTATACGCTGCCAGGGCACAGTGAACGAAGGCAGGCCCCGTCCAGGGTGCCCGCAGAGGGGGGCCTCCTGCTGTGAGGTCGTGAGGTAGGACTGGACAGTCCCCTGAGAGCTCAGGCTTGTTACAGACGGTAGAACCAGAATAACGCTCCACTTTCCTCGTTCACAGCACTGCATCCCGGATTTTATCTTTGGAAGACCCTGAGGACTCGTTTCCCTCTCTCTCTGTTGCTTTCCAGTTATCACAGTCCTCCTCCCACCTCATTCCTTAGCCGGGACCCAGGAGCCCGGGTTCTGTCTGTCCTTGGGCCTTCTCACCCTGCCTTGCCCACCCCTACTGACCCTCAAGGTCAAGCTGCCAAGCACTGAACCAAACAGGCTTCGGAAAGGCACCTTATCCCCACCCATGGAGGGGCCCCCAGCGCTTGCCTCCCACCCCATGGCCACTGAGAGCCCCACGTGACTGTCTGAGGCAGAGGTTTCCTGCTCCCTGAGGAACGCTGTGTCAGTGGCCAGGCGAGCCCCAGAGCCAACATCTGCCTGACCCGCCATGGGCCCCAATTTGCTACCGCTGCTGCTCCTGGGACTGGCAGGTAAGGTTAGAAGGAGCCGCGCCCTGGGCCCCTATACTGCATTCCAGGCCCAGGAATAACTGGCATTATTGTGGCAAGAGTAACTCTTGTAGGGCCCAGAAGGTGGACCTTTCCATCCCTGTGACCCTGTGGCAGTGGGTGGACTGGAAAGTTTCTGGACTGCCCAGCCTTCCCACATCCTTTCCTTCCCTAGGCCAGGGCTCCATGGTCACCTTCCCAGAGGTGCTACAGGCCCCCGTGGGGGGCTCCATTCTGGTGCAGTGCCACTACCGGCTTCAGGACATCAAGGCTCGGAAAATGTGGTGCCGCTTCTTGCCAGAGGGGTGCCAGCCCTTGGTGTCCTCCACTGTGGATCGCAGAGCCCCGGGTGGCGGACGCATGTTTCTCACCGACCTGGGGGGCGGCCTGCTCCAGGTGGAGATGATTACCCTGCGGGAGGAGGATGCGGGAGAGTATGGCTGCGTGGTGGAGGGGGCCGCGGGGCCCCAGACGGTGCACAGAGTCGCTCTGGACGTGCTCCCTCCAGGTGAGTTATCCTAGGCTGGCCATTGCCCTTCCCCGCCTCCACCTGCACCTCTTGGGGGATGGGGGCTCTTAGCAGGGGAGGAATTGGGAGGAGATATTTTTGACTGCTCCCCAGGGACCGGAAACCAAACTGGGTGAGCAGTCTGAGATAAAACAGCCAGACAGTGGGTCCCTCCCCACTCCCACGCTAGCGGGTTTCTCCATTGGAAGGCACATCCTCCTTCCTCACCCATGGCCTTGGCCTCCTCATCCAGCTATTTTTTTCCTCTAAGAAATGTTTTAAAGAAAGTATTAATTTGGGCATATCAACCTGGAATTCAATTTTTAAATCTTCCTGTTTATTACTCCTGTTATAATGGGTTTGATGGCTTAAAATTATTGAATCCGTATTTTATTTAATTTTATGTCTTCACTGAGCATATAGTATGTGCCTCACCTTTAAGCAGGGTGTGTTCGATGCCTGAATTACTCCCAGCTCATTTTGTTTTAAAAAATGAGGAAAATGTCATTAATAGGTATCAGTATTGTCAACCCTATTTTGAGTCTAGAAAGTACTTTCTTTCGATAGGCTGCAGTTTTCTCTGACAGACTACAACTTTCTAATGTCTAAGCATTTATTAAAAGACAATTTTAAAGTAGAAGAAGAAATTTTCCTGAAAAGTTGGATGTTGTAAGAAAAAAAATGTTCTGGAGGGAAAATGGCCAGCTGCCTGCAGAAGTGGAGACTGTTACAATCTTTCTCTTGTGGATGATAATAGTCTTTCATTTTTAGGTCCTCCTTTCTCATGTAATTTGTGCCCAACCCCCAAGTCATGAAATGAAGAAAGGCATTTTTTCTTTTCTTGGTTTCCCCCCCATTTGCTAATTATTAGTGTAGACTAAGTTGTCATTAGTATCCCTCTCATCTCTGGTCCAAGATCATTATTTCATGTTGTAAATATGTTCCTGGTGGTCTTTGTATCCTCCGTCCTCCTCCTTCCTTGACACTCTAAGGTCTAATAGCTCCAACGTGTAGGTGCTGGGGCCCCAACAGCTGTAGCGGATGGATGCTCAGGCCAGCCAGTGGAGCGTGGCTTTCAAGGAGGGTGTGGGTGGCTTAGTAGGTATCAGGAGGGCAGGACACATGCAGCAAGATGGGAGATAGGAACCATGAGCCACTGGGAATAAGACCCCTATCCTGAGGGTCTAGAAGGACTGGCCAGGTTCCCAAGACAAATCCTCCGGCCCATAGAAATTAACCCTGAGTCCCATAGCCAGAGTTGAGTGTGTTGTAAGGACAATAGAAGCCTTGTCACAAAACCAAGACTTGGGCTCTGAGCAAGGCTCCCAGCAAGGGTCTTCTGGCTTTGTGTCACATTAGGGTTGATGCTAGAATTCCTTAGATCCTGAGGGCAGAGTTTTGGATGGGGCTCATCCAGCCTGCAGGGGTGTCCCATGGCTGCAGGTATATGGAGAGGTTTAGCAGGCTGTGCTGAGGCCCCTTTAGAGACCAACTGATGAGCACCAGGAGCAAGGTTGCCACTGAGGACAAGAGTGGAGAACCTATTCTGGGGTGGGGTGGGGAGGCAGGCATAGATTACCCAATGGCTGATTCTGCATAGTCAGAGTAGCCGGATAGACCAGGGGTCTGGAGGAGCAAGTGAAGAAGGAAGGCAGGGGCAAGGGTTGGGATCTGGTGGTGGAGGGGAGTGGGTCTGGTCACTAACAGGTAAAGACAGAAAGAGACCATCCCTGATCTCCAGAATTAGGCCCCTAAGGAATATGTCAAGCCCCATTTGTGTCAAGCCCCATCTGCTTCCTCAGCCCCACTCCCCCAGTCCCGCAGATCTCAACAGGCCTGTACCCTGCCCTCCATAGTTATATGCTCATTAATATTTCCTTCTGACTCAGCTCCTCGACTGAAAGAGAAGGAGACCTATAAGGCTGGGACTCTGGCTGACGGCCCCTCCTCAGACACTGTGGGCAGTGCCAGCCCTGTGGAACCCACCCAGGATGAGAAGAGGTACAGATAAGAGCTGTATTCGGTGGCTGGGAAAAGGGTGGTGGTAGGAAGGGGAGTGAAAGATTGTTCAGAGCCCCAGGCTAACTCAAGGGGAAACCTCATGGTTCCTTCCACCCCTGGGGAATTTCTGATCAGACAGGAAGTCAGGCAGACCTGCCTCTGTATCCCAGTTCAGCAATGACCCCTTTATCCTGGTGGTCTCCGGCCAGGATAGCCTGATAATGTGTTTCTCTTCTGCCCTGCTTGAGTCTGTCCTCCTCATTCCATCCCCCAATTCCTCTTCTTGCAACCATGGCTCACCAAGAATAGCACCCTTCTCCACTGCTCTGGAGTTCCCGGTGAGCAGCTTCCTGCCAGGTTCAGTCCTGAGCTCGTCTATCCCTTTATGTCCTTCAGCATCCCCTTGATCTGGGGCGCTGTGCTCCTGCTGAGCCTGTTGGTGGTAGCATTGGTGCTGTTTGCGGTGATGGCCAAGAGGAAAGGTAGGTAGCCATCCACCAGCCGACCCCAGCACAGCCCCGCTGGTAGTGTACCAGCTAGTCTTATAGACAATGTCAGACTCTAGGTCTGTGTCCTCTGTAGATGGGCTTGTCTGAGCTTTAGTAAGGCCCACAGGTCCTAGAATTTCCTAGATGAGGTGTGGACAGGAAGGAGGAGATTCAGTGGGAGCTGTCCTGGTGACAGAGGAATTGGACAGGGTGGGCAGTGGGATAAACAGGTGACTAGAGGTGAGAGAAGGGTTTTAGGAGAAAGGCTGAGTGTTGAGGCAGGATGAAGGGAGTTGGAAGCAGTCAGTGGGTGGGGAGGCACCTGGCAGGCTGCAGCAGATCTGGGGAGGCAGTGGGGAAAGATATGCTGGTAGGAGTGAGATGAAGGGTCTGGACGAGGAAAGAGCCTTCAGGGACTTCTGAAGGGAGGGAGGAGATGGGCTCTGAGCCAGGATGGGAAGCAGACTATGGTGCCATCCTCTGTCTTCCCAGGGAACAGGCTTGGTGTCCGTGGCCAACCTCAGAGCAGCAGAGTTCGGGGCATGGTAAGAGGCCTCTGCAGGCCCCCAGCCAAATTCCTCTTCCATCTGCCCAGTTCACTGAGAGGTCCCAGGATAGGGGGTGGTGGTGGAGAAAGACTGACACCCAGTCAGGGCCCATATCCTCTTCCTAAATGGTGTAAACTTTGTACCAGTTGTCTTCTACCTTCCCGCCTTGGTATTTCACGCTCCCCAATTTGGGAAGAAAGTTAGGCCTTGAAAATCTTCGAAGGGAATCCCTCTTACCCACCAACATACTCAGGATTTGAGAGACAGATCCAGTGTGATCCTGGGCTTCCCCCACAAAGGGAACTGGAGCAGAAGGAGGCATTTTCTCTCTGTCTCACTTGCCTGCTTTTGTTACAGGCCTCCTCCTCTGTGGCCCACCACATCAGTAACTCTGGACTGGGACTTGATTTGCCATCGGACGTTCCATATGCTAGGCTCGACTCACCACCTTCCTTTGACAATACCACCTATAGTGTACCTTTTGATCCCCCATCAGAGAAATCCCCACCCCCAGCCCAATCCTCATCTCCCCCTCTGCCTCCTAAGGTACTAATGTGCTCCAAGCCTGTGACATATGCCACAGTCATCTTCCCTGGCAGGGACAAGGGTGGAGGGGCCTCCTGTGAGCCAGCCCAGGATCCACCAAACGGCCAAACGCCACCCAGCTAAGCTGTTCATCCTCCTGCACACTCACCGAGAACATCCCCAGAACTCTGTGCATCCAGCCAGCCAGACCATGCCCTCAACCCTTAGGATATCAGAGAAGCTAGGGACTTTAGATTCTAACCTAATATCTTGGCTTTTCTGACCTGGAAAGTGAGACTTAAATGTGACTGAGGTGTCTTGGGAATCCCCCATGCTGGTTCCTCTGCCATTATAATACTGAGTTAAATAAACTCTGAATGCTAATATATGAGCTCTTGATGTTTGAGGGGGAGAAAAGGGCCTGAGTTTGACTATTCCTATGGCCTGGGAACTGAAGGTTCTGGTCCAGGGTTTGTGCTGCACGATCTCCTGCCTGTTCTGCCAGTAGGGACAAGGTTTCCTTCTCTGGTCAGAATACTATGATGGAGTTTGATTCAAGGGACACTAAGAAGCCTTCTTCAGAAGTATTTCCTACCTTTTTCACGGTACCTAAATTATAGATCCATTGGCTTTAGTCTAGAGACCTCTTTTGCCTTCTGCTCTGCACCTTGTAAATAGGCGGCATTTTCTGATGTGACAACACATGGGAGGAATGGGATAATATGAGTGAAAGGAGACTCAGGACAGATGTGGTGAGAGAGATGGAGCTGAAAAGAAATAGGAGTGATGTTAAGGGAACATAGTGAGGGTTGGCGGGGGTAGGTGAGTGGGTGGATTGGGTAACTGGATGATGGGCATTAAGGAGGGCACTTGAACTAATTTGGGTGTTACATGCAACCAATGAATCACTAAATAATACACTATATGTTAACTACACTGAATTTAAATAAAAAATAAATAAAACAGGAGTAAGATCAGAAACTGAAGTAAATCCCAAGCCTATCCCTTGGCAAGACCAAGGATTTTCAAGCGCCAGGAGATAAAAGACCTCTGCAGACATGTTTATCAGAGCTAGTTCTCAAGTGGGTGGACATCTGGTAGCACTGTACTCTTTGGCCTGAAATCTGGAGCCTGGAAAGAGCCCAGTGGAGAAAGGGCATGGCAAGGGAAGAAGGGGAATGAATGGTAAAGGTGTGGTCACTGCCAAGTGTAAATGAAAGCTAGTCGAGGCTGGGGGTGGAAGGGCCTTTAAGATGTCTGCGAGGATTTCTTATGAAACTGTTCAGTTTGAAACTATCGGCCCATATTGAGATGAAAGACAAATGGAGAGAAGGGGGTGCTCGGGAAATTATTTTTCTTACAGTCATGGAGAGCTAGGCCTAAAGTGTTTTTCACCATCTGGAGAGGCCCTGAGTTTGGTCTAGGTACCCGAGAAAGGACAGGCAGAGCATGTACCCTGGGCTCCAGCTGGGTAGGCCTAGTGATGCTATTTTCAGGGAGCTCTGGCAGGATGTTCTGAGCTTCCCCTGATAGAGTCTCAGCCTGTGACATAACACAAATTTATTACTGTTCCTTGTGGAGGTGGCAGCTGCCCACCAATCAACTAAGCCCTTATTTTCCCTGGCTAAGATAACTGGGGACTTCCCTGCTGGGGAAGAGAGGCAATGAGGGTAGGGAAGGATAAAATTTAAAGGGAAGGATAAAATTTAAAAAGAACCCATCTGGGAAAAAGTTACTCTGGTCTGAATGTAGTTTGAACTTTTTAGAGCCTGACAGAAGTAAAAGTATATTTAATAACACAAAGGAAAATACTAAGATCAACTGGCTGGTGGAGAAGAGGGAAGGAGGAAAGGGAAATATATTAATTCCATCAATGCTCATGGTTAAAGTCTATGAATACCAAACAGAATTTCTCAGTTATAACTGTAACTTCTGAGATGAAAATACAGATCTTCTAAATTTTATCATAAGAAACATAGGAAAACAAAGCAAAGAAAATGCAGGTGACATGACAAGGCCATTGCTTCATATCAGAACCTTTGGAATGCAGCTAAAGAAGTTCTCAGAGGAAAAGTCACACCCTCAACAAGAATTAAGCATCTTACTCAAATTGCTAGTTCATTTTAAAGGAGGAAAATTGTATAATACATAAATAAAAGAGCTTATTCTTTGAAATGAAATGAAATAAAAGAGAGAGTGTTAACTAACTTACTCAAATAAATAACAAGGGGAAAATAATCACAGATATAAAGACAATGAAAAAAATGAGAGTATTTTGTGTTGGTGGTGTGCCTGGGGTGGGGATAATGAATGTAGAGAGGCTGAAATAAGTTTTTGGGGTGACTGAAATATCTTCTATCATGATTGTGGTAGTGGTTATGTGGGTGTATATGTTTGTCAAAACCCATCATTAAAATAGGTGCACTTTCTTGTATGTAAATTACATTTTGATAAAGTTGATTTTTAAAAAATATTTGAAAGACCATGGGGGAATAGTTAAAATAATCTTAGAGAGGAAAATGTTCTTTAAAGTATTATACAAAACTCAGAAGCCATAATGTAATTGATACATTAAAACAAGAAAAGACTGATATCTTTTTCTCCACTACAAAAGCACAATAAAGATAAAACACAAAATGAGGAAAAGTTCTGCAACTCATACAAAGGCAGAGACCTCATTTCTCTAACTCCTACAAATCAATTAGAAAACAAATACTTAATAGGATATATACAGATAGCTCACAAAACAGGAAATATAAACATAGTAAAGATGTTTAACTTAATCTAAGGGAAATGCAAATTAAAAGTACACTGAGAACGATTTAAAAGAAAATGGTTGAAGAACTCAGAAAATACTTTTTTCCCCCAAATTTTTATGTAAATTCTACTTAGTTAATATATAGTGTAATACTGGTTTCAGGAGTAGAATTTAGTGATTCATCACTTACATATAATACATGGTGCTCATCCTAACACGTGCTTAAACATAACAACTCCTTAAATTCTCTCTTCTAGAGGTGCCTGGATAGCTCGGTTGGTTAAGCATCTCATTCTTGATTTCAGCTCAGGTCATGATTTCAGGGTTCTGAGACTGAGCCCTGCATTGGGCTCTGCTGAGCATGGAACCTGCTTAGGATTCTCTTTCTCCCTCTCTCTCTCTCTGCCCCTACCCTCCCTCTGCTTGCTTTCTTTCTCTATAAAAAAATTCTCTGTTCCATAAAAGCAACAAGAAAACTGGCAAAAATAGCCAGAATCAACTTTTTTAGAACTCTGGAAACCAATGGCTTGCATCAACCCAAAGAATCTTTACTTAAGAAAATTGGCTTTCCCTCCCTTGTAGCTCATTTAAAGCACATAAAGCAGTATTCATAAAGTAGCATTTACATATATGTGTTGACAGGCACATGATTTATTAAGATATAACTTTTATGACATTTATAATATGAAAGAGTGGGGAGGGAATGGAGCTATACAGGATCAAAGTTTTTGTATATTGTTGAAATTAAGCTGGTATAAATAAGAACTGGATTGTTTTAAATTAAAATGTTAATTGTAATCCCTATAGCAAGGAAAGAAAAACCCTCACAAATATAGTAAAAGAAATGACAAGGGAATTAAAATTAAATTTAAATTGTGTATTTAATATAATGAAAGAGTGGAGAAAGAGAAGGAAACAAGACATCAGACATGTAGAAAACAAATAATAAGATGGCAGACATAAATCCTATCTTATCAGTAATTAATCTGAATGTAAATAAACATTACAGTTAAAAGGCAGAGATTGGCAGAATGTATTAAAAAAACTCATGATCCAACTACATGCTTCCTATAAGAGACAAACTTTAGAGTCAAAAACACAAGTAGGTTCCAAGTAATAGGATAGAAAAACATGTATCACGCAAACTAACTAAAGACATATATCACGCAAACTAACTAAAGGTGGGGTGGTTATATGAATTAAGATAAAAGGACATTTTATAATGGTAAAAGAGTAAATCCATCAAGAAGATTTAACAATTATAAATATATATGTACCTAACAACAGCATTTCAAAATACATAAAGCAAAACTGACAGAACTGAAGGGAGAAATAGACAAATAGTAATAACTGTAGACTTCAACATCCCACTTTCAGTAATAGGCAGAACAAGGTAGACAGGTGGAAGATCAGCAAGGAAATAGTAGACATGAACAGCAGTGTAAAAACCAAGTAGACTTAATAGACATCTGTAGAACACTCCACTAAACAACAGCAAAATGCAATACACATTCTTCTCAAGTATACATGTAACATTCTCCAGGGTAGACTACATATCTGACCATAAACATGTTCTCAATAAATTTAAAAGGACTGAAATCATTCAAAGTATGCTTTCTGACTATAAGGGAATGAAATTAGAAATAACAGAAATAAATTTTGGAAACTAACAAATATGTGGAAATTAAACAACACACTTCTAAATAACAAGTGGGTCAAAGAAGAAACCACAAGAGAAATTATAAATACTTTAAGAGGAATGAATTCAAAAATATAACACAGCAAAACTTAGGGGATTCAGCAAAGTCTGTGCTTAGAGGGAAATCTATAGCTGTAAACACTTTATATTAAAAGAAAATAAAGATCTCAAATCAACAACTTAACTTTCCACCTGAAGAAACTAGAAACAGAAGAGCTGACTAAACCCAAAGCAAGTGGAAGGAAGGAAATAATAGATTGGAGCAGAAATGAATGAAATAGAGAACATATAAAGGGGAAAAAATCAGCAAAACCAAGTATTGGTTCTTTGAAAAGATCCACAAAATTGACAAATCTTAGCTAAGGTTACTTTCTTTGCCAAAAGAACAAAGAGAAGACTCATATTACTAAATGAGGAATGAAAGTAGAGGGAGCACTACAGACTTTATGAGACTAGAAGGATTATAAGGAAAATTGTGGACAAGCGTGTTTCATCAAAATAGATAACCTAGATGAAATAGACAAATTCCTAGAAAGACACAAACTACTGAAACTGACTCAAAATTAAATAGAAAATCTCAATAGATCTATAACAACTAAAGAGGTTTAATTAATAATCACAAAACTTACCAGACAGAGAAGCCCAGGCCCAGATGATTTCACTGGTGAATTCTACCAAACATTAAAAGAGTTTTAAAACCAATCCTTCTCAAGACCTTCCAAAAAATAGAAGAGGCAGGCCCTCATTCTATGAGGACAATTTTACCTCGATTCAAAAACCAGACAAAGAGATGACAAGAGAACTACTGATTAACATCTCTTATGAATACAGATGCAAAAATCCTCAACAAAATACTAGCGAATAGGCTCTAGCAATAAATAGAAAGGATTATATACCAAGACAAAGTGGGATTTATCCCTGGAATGC